TTCCCTCCGACGGCCGGAAGCGGAGCGCGGCACGATTTGCCGGAGTCGTGAGTTTTGTAGTATCCTGTTTGGACAGGCCTTTACGGAGATTTTCTTTCAAATTCACTGCATTAAAAACGGTGCTAAAACGGCTTCGTACACGTATTTTTGTGCACTGTCAAACACTGTTAGCGCGAACACGAAATCGGCGCTTTCCAGCATGAGGAATATACGTGCCAAACGAACGGACATCTGGAAACCAAGAGACGGCAAGAACTCCGCAGTAACACTGGGATTATTCTTGTCCAGCTCGCTTGCACCTTTGCATTTAATTGCATTACAAATTAATTTGCAAGCTTCACCCTTGTTGGTGTTAGTGGCAGCTGATAAAACCCGTTTCCTCTACTGCCGTCTAACCCCTGGTTAGCTCAGTTGGTAGAGCGCTCCACCTGTAATGGAGAGGTCCCGGGTTCGATAACCGGACCAGGCGGATTTTTTCGGTCGCTCACCAGTCACCTAGCAGTGCTTGGAGATTTGTTTGTCCTTTGACCCTCTTCTTCCCCTTCTCCAGGTATTATTTTCGTCGATGGCGTTTCCGGCTCATTTTCCCTAACTGGGCTCGCTTTTTGACAATATTCCAGACAATTCCCCGATTTTTCCCGGTAATTAAAATTTCCCTGACAATTTCCGGGTTTTTTTTTTTCGCTAGACACCCTATCAGTGCTACCTTGCTTGATCCAAATGTGCCAAATAAAAGCCACAACGCCACGGAATCAAATCGCTCTGCTGTCCAACCAGGAAAGGCAGCAGCCATGACGAGTTACATGTCAGCATGATGCTTTCAGGAATGGCTGCACCCTCGATGGACATGCTATTGCCTCGGTAGCACACTATTTTCACATCGCGGAGAAACAATGGCTGGCAGTACTCACAGTATGGGAGGAGCTTCTGGTGCATGCCTTCACTTGTATCATCAAACTATAACTGGATATTGGAACGACCATGGCAGTGTACCTGACAGAATGCCTTGGTGGCTCCGAGGCAAAGCGCCGGCCTACGGATCGCCAGGTGGCGGGTTCGAATCCCGGCCGAGGTGCCCGCAATCTGACGGAGCTTTTTCTAGAGAAATCGCCATGTAACCGAAATTTCAGTTGCACGTCGAAACATCCCCAAGTGGTCGAAATTAATCCTCAGCCCTCCGCTGGGGTGTGCCAGATACCCTTTGTTGGTATGGCACGTAAAACTTCAAAATTCTGTCAAAACTTCTGTCAAAATGCACGACATAGCCACCATTCTTTGCACGTTTACTTTATAATCAGAACTGATTTACAATAATCACACACACAAAAGCAGCATCAGTAGTAATACGATGCAACAAGACGAGAGGAGACTGAAATCATGACCCTTTCAAGAGAAATCACTATGCATGAATTCTAATCCTAATTATCCCCAAAGGTGCCCCACTGAAAATCTATTTGTAGCTCCTTGTAGATTTTCCAACAGTTTCTATCATGCCAAGTAAAAAAAAAAAAAAAAAATTGCAGTAATTAATTGCAAGAATTGACCAAAGCAGTACTATATGAACTAGATAGAGTTCCATGCATTCAAAACTACGGACCACACTGTACAGTACCTCAGTCAATGCAATGCTCAATCAGTGGCTGTTCTTATGTGTCACTTATAGAATATCAGACAAATGATTGCATGCAAATCTGTGCACACAACAAACTTGAATTCACATTCGCTGCTTCAACACCACACAGTAAACTTAAGCTGCTCTCACTGAGCACGAAATTGTCTGCCAGAACACTTCAATGTCATCAATGAAGTTGCAGACAATGAGAGTTCAGTTACTTTACCAACCAATCCGAAGCTAATTAGCAGCAGTTTCCAAAAACCTGCAAAAAAAAAAAATCAAAGCTACCATACACTACTATGGAGTCATCTCTCATGTTATGATAAGCATATAAAGACACCTTATGTAGGCAGTTTGACAAAAGTAATATCTACAGACATCAGGTAACCTCTTGATATTGAGGCTTAAATCACATGATTTAATCATGTGATTAAGGCTTAAATCATGTGCACTCAGTTCTAAGGTGGGCAGACAAAAACTGCTTCAGTACTGCATAAATTACCACCTTCTTAATTTAGAAAAGGAAAGCTTTCCGCAGGTACGTTACTAATCACCGGATGCCATTTTGAAACTTGGGACTCTCCGGCTAGTGAATGACTACATTAACTGTTTTACCCTATTAGGCAAGCTATCTTAATGGTACTTCACCTCTTGCAAAATATGTAGAGGGGACACACATATTCGTGAGCTGTTAGGATGGGCCCAAGCCTTGTTATGCTCTTGAATACTGTGATTAGGTGTCACAGAAGCCAGTAGTAGTCAACCCCTATTATTATGACTTCTCCACGTTAGAATAATTATTTCAGGGTAAGACTTCCATCTTGCAGTGAACACATGTGAATGAAACACCTTGTGAATCTAGTTATGGCTCGATATCCTGGGAATAGTTCACTAAGACTGTTGCAAGCAAAGGCTCCAAACATGGGCATACCAACCGGGGGAGCAAGGGGGGCACTTGTCCCCTCCCCTCCCTCTCCCCCCCCCCCCTCCCTCCCCTGAAACAGCCGCCACTGGGCAGGGTAAACACTTGCCAAGGGATACCAAGGGCACCGCCCCCCGGCCCGGGGGGGGGGGGGGGGGGGGGGGGGTTCTGGTTTTCCTCCCCACTCAAAAACAAGTTGGTACGCCACTGGCTCCAAAAGAAGTGTACTGCAATAAACACACAGACAAATAGGGCTTCTCAGTTTAACCCTGCCATGACAAATGTTGTCTATTCATGAAACATGTCTTCAGAAACCAGGAAGAGGCCTGTTTTTACCACGGATGTCTACTAGGGTGCTGGATGGCAAACAGGTATGAAGCCACCGAAAGTAAGCGGCTTGTCCTGGAAGTGAGCGCTTGACAGGCTTTTTAACTCTTCTGAGCGCTGGTTTTGAACAGCGTCCAGGGCGCTGGATTTTCTGATTGTCTCGAAAGAGCCTGCTTGTTTTGCACTAACAGCACATGCAGACCCGAGAAGTCTGCTGGGAAGCCAATGGATGTGAATATTTTGAGATTCTAGTTGATCAAGTGTGCATATGTCCCACATTCAAATGCTTTATTATTGAGATATTATTCAAAACGGGATTATTAAAACTCACTGAAAGACAAGAAAGCATGAACCGAAACAGACTAAATGTCGCCGCACGACTTCCGCGCAGTGGCGTCACAAAGGGAGGGGGGGGGGGGGGGGGGGGGCCGCCACGAGGTGCAGCGCTTGGAGGGGTGCAGCTAAGCAGTGAAAGGGGGGGGGGGGGGGTGTCGCGGCGGGCCACGAGAGACGGGGTGGGGGTGGGGGGGGGGGGGGGGAGTTGTCGGAGGGCCACGAGAGCAGGGGGGATGTTGCGGCGGGCCACTGCCCCGGGTGCGGCTGACCCTAGTGACACCACTGCTTCCGAGACAAGCATCAAACTTCCGGTGACTTCATCTGCGCCAGGCGCGGAGAGGAGCTAAGCACCATCCAGACCCCTATATAGAGATCAGTGGTTTTTACTTACTCTTTAGTGCAGTAATCATCTCAAAACCATAACACACACACAAAAAAAAACTAGTTTTTAGAAGAGTGATATGGCTTGCCACCAGAACATTGGAGACAGAACAAGGTCTAAACAGTTTTTGAACATTAGGAACCAGATGGATGAAGTTTTAAAAAAATTTTGAGTGCCTTGCCTATACACCTTTTCCGTCTAACCTCGACCCAGCGCGTAACGTGCGTAGCCTCGACTCGGCGACTCGGCGCACAGCGGGAGTAGTGCTTCCGGTTCTAACACTTCCGGTATGCGGGAGCAGGCCTAGCCGGCTGGCAAGATGCTGAAGTGGTGCGCGTTAAATGGGTTTTGAAGCCCTTGACAGCAAAGTGAGTTGTAATAAGGTGGGTTAATACGTCGATGTATCATGTCCGCGCATATTTGGTCATCGGGCTGCCACTGCGCAGTCGTTGGCTGCAGCAGCAATTTCCGAAAACGGAAGATAGCGCGCGACAAATTGTGCACCAAACACAAGAAGCCGCAAAGCGAATGCGGCTGTAACGTATACATTTTGCATCGCTTCCCCGCTGATATCAGCGGGGAAGCTATGCAATATCAGCACATAGAAAAAAAAAAGCAAATAGGCAGTATAGAAACGGACATCTACAAGTGCAGTAACAGGCCTCGATAAGACAAATGCAGAACGAATTTTGCAGCTTGTGGTGCAAATGTAAGACCCTGGGTGTAATGATTGTTATTGTCTACTCATGTTTTGCTTTTCATTCCGTTCATTCCTACGAGGATGTGCACTATAATTTTGTGTTTTGCTCGGTAGCGACGCCCGTTAAAGTACGTTAATGGAAACAATACAAAAAGAGGGCGCAAAATCGTCGTCGTTCTCCCCCCTCCTCCTCCTCCTCCTCCTCCTCCTCCTCCTCCCCCCCCCCCCCCCCCCCCCCCCTCCCTTTCACCATCTCCTGAATAGTTCCGAAGCATCTGGGCGTCATACGAACTAGAGATGTCCCGGTGCTAGCGATCGTACCTCGACGGTGCACCATAACAATAAACCGTTCGGCCCGCGTCGCCAACTCCCATTGTGAGTATTTTTACGATTAAACGATGATACTTCTATGCCCAGGGTCGCCCTCGCTCGCGCATAGAAACCCTCCGTTAGTCATTTGCAGAAGGCAGTCATTCTTCACAAACAACAACACGCGAAGAGTAAACACTGGTAAACGTCCTCAGGAAAAGTGAACATGCCTCCGATTTCGATTACCGGCGACGCTGGCGACGAACCTCTCGGTGCTGTTGGTGCAACAACGGGCGCCATGAGGGCGAATAAACACGCCAGAACACAAGAGTAATTCACACTTTCAATAACAAACAAATTAAGAACTCACTAAAAGGAAAACAATGAAGATACGATGCACGGGGTCAATGGGGACAAAGCAGGAGCTAGGAACAACGCTGCTCTCCGCATACCAAAATGGGCGCACAACAACCGTACGCCAGACGCCAGACGGCGCGGCTGTCGCTGCAACACGCAAGATGGCGACGACTACGCGGAAAAGGTGTATAAGGGGGAAAAAAGGCAAACGAAAATGTGGTTGAAGGAGGCAATTTAAGCAATGACCAAATGTAATCCTCCCCCTATTAAGTCAAACCTAGAATGTCAACATACAAAAAATAAAAAAAATAAGGTATAGTAGCATTTAATTTCTTCACACATTTGCTGATGTTACATGATTTCTTTTCACTGTTTTGGTGAAAGTAAGATCATATCAATTGGAGAAACAAACAATTAATGACAAACAGAATTTTCCATGTAAAGCAGAGCCTAACAACTTAAACCACCAAGTTACACCATAACTAACTACCGACGGGAAATCACTGCAGATGGACAGCACTAGCTCAGATCTTGCAAGAAATTGAATCAGACAAATAATAAGGACAGCACACATATGTATCGGGTGCACAACCTACAGCTCATGTTACTTGACTGTTGACAACTTGAATACACTGCAAGCAACTATAAGAGTGCTCCCACGTGGTTGCAATAGCTTGAAATGAACATGCTTCATGGTGACTGAGTTACCTTCTGTGCCTCAGAGTTCTTCACTTTTCAGAGTACCACAACTCAAACACTTCACTGACAGCACAAGCAGGTCCATGCCTACACTTCTCAAAACACACAATACATTTTTAGCCACCTTTCATCCTGCACGGGGATCTCTCGAAGACAGTGGCTGACATGCACACTTAAAGTAAACATATAAAAAAGAACCCCAAAAAAGGTGGAAGTAACGTAAAACTACCAATGCCTCGTTCAGGTCACTGAGTCTTCCCATGAGCCATGGTAGTCCATGCACACACAGAAAAACTTACACAGGTTGTTGCAAACTTCTGTCGGGGACGTCTGCTTGATTCCATGGCTCTGGATCCCATCTGTGCAGGTTCTTTGTGTAAGGACAGTCCTGCTTGTGGTGCCATATGATGTTCTCCACTCGAGCTGAACGAAAGCCACACTTGGAGCAGTGATAACGTGGGATACCTTTGTCGGATGAACAACTTGGCTTCTGGCATCGAATGTGGATGTCACCTGCAAACGTGTCGCTCACTGATGGAATACGTTTGCAGCTTTCAGCCAACACATCCTTCTTTGGGAGCAGTGATTCTGTGGGCTCGGATCGCCGCTTTCGTGCTAGTTTTGTTGGTGAAGGTACAGGGGCTGTGCAAATATTCTCCTGTCTCTTCATGTCAGAATTTTTCCTAGTCACATTCTCCAACAATTTCACTCGCTGTTTCTTTGGTGAAGGTGTTTCCTTTGCAGCAGGTACTTCTTTGGGTGACTGCATTTCTTTTGGAGTCGAACAAGTGGCTTCGAGCGACTTCCTGTGTGTCTTCCTTCTTGGAGCTGCCCCTTTAGGAGATTTTTTGGCATTCTTTTTCTTTGCACCTGCAGCTTCAGCTGCTTCCTGCTGGGCCTGCTCTATCTTGAAGAAGCTGAGCAGTGCATCGAAAGCTTCCTCTGATTTGTTATTTTGAGTATCATCCAGAATGTCGTAACTCTCATAAACATCAAAGTCATCGTCATCACTGTCAGGAATGATAACTCGCTTTCGTGGCGTAGTGGGTGTACGGAGGCTCCAGCGCTTTTTACCTAATGAGCTTGCCTCATCCTGGGACAAACTTGACCGTTTCCTTTTCGGCTTCAGATCTGGGAAGATGTCTCGTGGCTTGCTAGTTGGTGGGGGCTTGGCCACGCCATTGGTTGGTAGATTTGAAGCCTCCTGGCAAGGCATTAAATCAAGTGCAGCCAGCAGTTTTTCACCAGACTGATCAAGGTCACTAAGCTCTCTGCTGCTGTCATGCTCTTTGCTCCCTGATGTCCCAGACTCCAACACTATTGAGCTGTCTGTAGACAAGGCTTTCCCTTTTGGCTTGTCCTTCTCTTGTTCCTGCAGCTCATGGTAAAAAAACTCGGCTTCTTTTATCGACTGAGGAGCAGTCCCTTCCAAACACCTATCATGATCTGCAGAGTATGTGTACCTGTCTTCACAATTATCTTGGCCTTGATCTTCAGTGCTGTTGGGGCTTCTCGGCAACTCATCTTGTAACTGATCATCTGTATTTTCATAAGTGCTGCCTGCATCAGCACCAGACCTAAGCTGAAGTGCCTCATGTTCTGTGGCATCCGTGATTGTTTCTCTGACCACACAATTATCTTTATCCATTTCCATAAAGTCAAGGTCTTTGGTTTTTATCACATCTTTTTTATGCTCCAGATCTGGTACCATCAAATGACTTTCTGCTTCTTCAAACAAGACTCCTCTCAGGGAACTGCCTGGCTCACTTTCTTTGACAGGCTCCAAAACTGATGCATGACCATCACTGGCACTTATGACTTGAATCTGCTCCTCATCTTTCATTAGTGCACTCCTAGATGTCATTTGATTAGGATTGCTTTGTTCAAAATCAGCAGGAGTTTCGGAAGGAATTGCTTCAGCTGCCACAGCAGTTTCAGAACCATAACTCATTTCACTTTCCCCCCGACACTTCACAGGAGATATTTCACTAGACATATTTTCAGACTCATTGTCAATGTCAAGTTCAGAGTTCTTGTGAAGGATGTTGTGATGAAAACCCACTTTTGACACTGAGTGTAACAAGGTATCTCTGTTAACATCAGGTTGTTTGTCAAACAGCTCGTTCACATCCTTCAGATTTTCTTCTTTTTCTTCCCTGAAGAGTTCATTCACATTGAAACAATTATGTTGATCCAGATTTGTTTCTCTTTCTTTGCAAATACTTCTAGACTGAGTATTGCAATCTAGTTGCAGATCAAGGACATTTTCACTTCTGTCCACTAATTTTTCTTCAGACTTCTCTACGCCTTGAACATCAGGAAGGTTGTTTATGTGAGCAACTGTCTCACGAAAGCTTTCGTCTCCTTCTCCAATACCGTTGCCACAAGAGAGTGGGTCATAATGCTCAGAAGCAGCAAGCAAGGCGGCTTGAGATGGCTCCGACACAGCCGTGCCAGGAACACTTTCGTCTTGAGCACCAGTTGGAGGTACTTGTTCCAGAAGTTCTTTGTGAAAACCTTCGGTGATCATGGTCAATGTGTCATTTCCATCATGGCCAGTAGTCTTGGGCTGTTCCTGATATCCTTCTTGGCCAATACTAGGTTCCTCTGGTCTCATCAGTACAGTAGGCAGTAAATGACATTGCACCACGTCATTCTTCCCAGGATCAACAGAGATCCTGCTGCAGCCACCCTCTTCACTCCCTGCCTGAGGAGCCCCAAATCCAGACTCTATTTGTGCTTTACTACACTCAGAATTACCTTCCATTATTGGTGGTAGCATCCCAAGCTCGGCTCCAGTGCACTTCCCGAGCCCCTCTTCCGACACCTGCTCATTTTCAGCCACAAACTTGAGATTCCCACTTAGTGGCAGGGGGCCCGAGCATACCTCTAAACCTAGAGAATTTTTCAGAACATCACTGCCACTATCCAGAGTCTCCAGAGATTTGTTCAGGTCACCAGTTCCTTCAGGCAGTTCCTCTAGACTTGGCTGCAGCTCTCCATGACCTGCTTCACTAGCAGTGCTACACTGTTCGGGAGGTACCTCTTCCAAGCCTTGCTGGTAGAGCAGCGTGTTTTCTGTGTCAGCATTCTCTTCCCCGGGAGATGCTCCCGGGACGACTGCAGTATCCTCGAAGCCTGGGCCTTCTTTCTCATCAGGATCCTCAGATAAAATAAGCAACTGCTGTTGCTCTCCCGTAGTGATGGTCGTCATTCCTGCAAACTGGTCTTGTAGGGATAGTGACTCAGAAAGAGCACCTTGCAGTTGGTCCACTGTAAAAGTTGTTTGATCACCCAGCAATGCACGGGCATCGAATGCTTGGACGACTGCATCTTCTGAGCCTTCTTCAACCACCACTATGATCTGCTGCCCTTCTTTTCCATCTTCAGTCATCAGGACATGCTCCCCGAGTGCATCCGGCGGGAGGTAGAAGGTGTTCTCACCTTCCACCAGCTGAAGCCTGGAGTGATCGAGCTGAAAGTAGCCAATCACCTGTCCCTCTTCTTCTTCGACGGCAGATTCTTCTTCTGCAACCTAAGATAAACCAGAGTTGTCAAGGTACAGGTTAGATGTAGCTGCTTTCACTAATAGAATCTATGGTTACCGGGTATTTACAAAGTACTGAAACAATAGAGCCTGAATGGACCTTAGTACTCAATGATTATCCTTCTACAACTTGCATGCACTGGAGTGCCTATGAAAAAGTAACACAATGTGCCACAGGGGTCTCCATGGAAAAGGGTCAGATTGCTGTGATCCTGGTGGTTGGTTGTAAAAGTCACACTGCAGCAGCCAAATGGACATGGGTTTAACTGGTGGCATCCATATCTGTGGCTGCTGCTATTCCCATTGGCTGGTCACCTAGCAAGTTGGCGTTGTTAGGCAGGTACCTGCCAAGCTTCAAGAACCTCCACCTGTGTCAACAACTGTTTGACGTGATGTACAACTGCCATGCCAAGAATATTTTTTTTTTTTTTTTTGCAAAGGGGGGGGGGGGGGGGCTGAGGTGTTTGGCATGATTATGACGCTTGGGGTGTGGGGCGTGCAACACTGATGTTTGTTTTGAAGGGGTATTCCGGCGTTTTCTTCATGGTCTCTGATTTGCCTGAAAATTTGCTAAACACACCAAGAAATATTGCTGAAATAGTATCCCAAATATTAGGCCAAAATAATATTTTTAAGCTAAGTTATTGAATTTACATTTTCGTTCTCATTGTGTTTTTGAAAACAAAATTATCTACTCGTAACAATGAAAAAGTGACGCCAGCGGCAGGCAGCGGTTCACTCTTTGAACTGTAGGCTTTGTTCCTAACTGATTACAAACAGTTTCATGGTGTCAAATGAATGCTTTGAAAGCGTGCTCCAGCCCCCGCACAGCAGCACAAAACAAATGCCTGGCATAGTCTATTTTTGACTGCCTGCTCTACTTGCAAGTCAGCCTTCCACTGATGTCACGGCAGTGAAAAGCACAAACATATATGAAAGTTGTTTTGGCATCAATTTAATTTGCCGATTTCACAATAACTATTCCGAATTTGGCGATACTAAATAGCATACTGGAAAGGGTAAAGGCTGGGGATTCATAAAATATAGTTTGTTATGGTAGCCGAAAAATTGCCGGAGTACCCATTTAATGCAATACATTGTGCACATACATTAGTTTCAACTTATTGCTATGTGTTCATGTGTAGGTTATTCAGTTATGTCTTATGCCTACACTCTGAAACCTGGGAATGTACTGCCGGTTCCCGCAATACACAAGCATACTAGGCTTAAGCGGGCCAGTGGCTTTGTATCTGTATTTTTATTACCGAATAAACCTTCTTATCCTTACTCACTATTTGTCGAGGTATCAAACTGGCATCAAGATGCACCCATTCTGAGTTTTTTTAAAACAAAGTTGCATTCACATACATGCTCAGCAGCTTACATTTTATCCTTGGGGTGTGAAAATTGTGGAAGTCTAGCTCAAATCAAATTCGAATCAAACAGTGCTGAATAGTAGCCAAAATGTTGAATAGTGAATGCCAAAACTTTTCAGAGTGTCTAGCAAATTATATTTTTTAAATTCCCTGACTTTTTGAGATTTTCCCAGACAATTTAAGGTGAAATTCCCTGACCACTGTAGAGGCAGTTAAATATTGCCATGCGCGTTGGCGAGCAAGCGCGTGCGTGACCGAGTGGTTACCGTGCTTGACTGTCGCGCGGAAGGTGTAGGTTCGATTCCAGTTAGCGGACTGTCCTTTTATTTATTCTTTCAATGTGGCCTTCTCGTAAGTTCCAGAACATTCTCGTCTGATCGAGTTCCGAATGTTCTACGCACCGAAAGTTCTACGCCGAACGATACAGAAACCCCCGAGGGTATATAAGGGATTCCGCAAAGCGAGCGGAGCCAGTTTCGCCTTAGCATTCGACTCTGCTGTCACACCGACTTCGACGCCCACAATGCTCTGCTTTATTCTGTTCCCTTTTTATTTTTGGGCACAAGTTCGCCCCATTAAACATTTAGTTTCTTCAGTTATTATAGCCTCATCCCTTGTCATTCGTGACAATAGATAAGACCATTACCACACAAGGTATTTTTTATTTATAGAGCACAATTATAATCAGCACAAATTAGGGTATCTGACTAGAGTGTCTAATACCTCTGTCAAACGGGCACCTAAAAGGACCTTTGTGCCAAAGGCCTTTAGGATTTTCAAATGACCTTTAAGTTCTGCCGTGCCAGACAGCAAAAGTAAATGTGATTTAGACAATGTTTACAGCGATTGAAGTCTCGTAACTAGTTCAAACGCTTCAATTACGTTCATGCCAGAAAAATAATATTTTGGTGATATAAGTAACTTACTAAGTTTTTCTTAAGCAAAGTATAAAAAAAGACAAAATGACGAGTTCAGACGAGTGATCACAACCAGGTCCATTTTAAGCCCAAGCAAAGTGTTTTTTGGCAATTAGCGGCAACCCTGAGCGTCTCCCGCTCACTCAGTCCTAATGTTGTTCAGTGTTCCCACTCCTTTCCGTGCTTCTGCTACGCTTTTGCCCTGTTCGGTTCGGTATCGTGCTCGCGCTTGAGTTTCATCGCACGCGTCGGAGGTCCACCAGCCGATCCTCCAAAAGTCGTATCAGCGCCTAGGTCGCCTCAACGCTCCAATGGAATCGCGGCGACCCCTTCCTAGTCATGGACACTCCTTCGTCCACGACTAGGAAAGGGTCGCATGATGCGAGAGTGAGATACAGAAATATATATGTATAAGAAATATTAAATATACAAAGTACAGTTAGCAATACACTATTAAAGGATGATAAAATATAAAGTAGAGAAATAAAAGCTAGAAAACAATGGTTGTAAAGAAAATCAAGAGGAGGAAAACCAAAGTGCTGAAGCGGACGATGCGAGCAGGCGAGCAGTGGCACGACGAGGCCTAATAGATAGCTGGGGCCGTGAGTACAGAAAACTATTAGTAGAGCGAGGTCTGTACAGAATATACATGAAACACATTATTTTTCAATAATAAAGACATAAAAACATTGATTTTAGATATCAGTACGATCTTTTAATCCAATTCGCTTCTCTAAGTGTAGACCGCTGCTGACGAGAGTACGCCTTTAGCAGCTGTAAAGGAGTTCCGGGAACTCAGGTTCACGAAAAGGATCTTTACGCTAAATGCCATTTGAATTGCTTGAATGACATTTGCACTAATGGTCCTTTGGTGTAAAAGGCCCAGTTAGGTGCCCGTCTGACAGGGGTATGATACTGCACAAAGTTTATGCAAACACAATCTCCTCTTGCTGCTTAAGATTGTCAGCCATTGCATAAAGGTCGTCCAAGCACACATCTCTTACCCCTAAGGGAGTTGATTTTTTCTCACAGGAGACGAACCTTCATGAACGACTCACTGGCGCCTTTGCTTATTTTCTTTGTTCTTCCACAAGAGCGGTCACTCTTTTCTTGTTTTTCTGAACATCTGACTCCCCGACTTTCTACCTTCTTTTTCTGCAATTTCTCTCAAAAGACGCTGTAGGAATTGCAAACAATGTGCACCTTCTTGTCAGTAATTTCAACCTTGTCCACGCCGCCTGCTGCCAACACAGCGTCGCCCACCACTCGCTGTGCTATGAATGATTCTTCTTTCAAGTTTTCAACAATGCACTCTTTGTCGACTGAAAAGCCTCTTTCTACGGCAGCATTGCCTTGAGACAAGCATGGGACGATCTTGATAAAACACAGCAGCTCTTTGTGACCATGTGAGCAGAAATTTAGCCACACAACATCCAGCCTCTGTCCTTTCCTGTCAAGATCTTTCAGTATTTCCTGTGCATGGCTCAGTGAACAGATCTGTACATAGGAACGATGGGCCCGTTCTGCTTGTAGACCGGTCAGCCACTGGTCTTCTGAAAGCACTTAAAGTGCGAGGGTCAGTCGTTTGCGGCCAGCCTCCGGAGACAATGCGAATGCTGGATCCAAGCAGCTGGCACCCCTAGTTGCTTCAATGGTGACCTCTCCATCACCATTCCGGAGCATACCTTAACGAAGGAAACGCAGTCTTTCTTGAACTTGAGCAAGGTAAGCTGTGGTAGCTTGGGCGCCTTGCGGAGCTCGTTCTTTTGCTGCCAATCCAACATCAATAACGGCTACAGCTATACAGTTCTTCAGTAGCTTAAGGGCCTGTCTGCAGCATTCAGGATTTCCTTCTTGAGAATTCTTGCAAGCAGTGACCATAAGACGTTATACAATGCCATAAAAAGAAAGGGAACCTTTGGCTTGTCGGTCTGAAATTCTACCAAAAATGGCTCCAGTTCTTCAGCAATTTACGGCATGAAGGCTAGCTTTGCCGGCAACAGCTCATCACCAACTGTGTTCACAACAGCGCTGTAGCTGGAGCATGTCGGCTGCTTGCTTGCCTTTGCTGAACACTCTATGAACTTTGCCAAGTTCGGAAAAACTTGTAATGCCCCATTGATAACCATTTTACTGCACATAACTTGAGAGGAAATAGCGTGCTCCCGGTGAAGTTGGCGCAATCGGCACAATGAGCAAGCACTTATTTGAAGAGGTTGTAGCTGCTGTGAAGAATGCTACAACATCCGAAGCAGTTGCAGCATGGCCTGCCTTGTATGCACCATTTATTACGTGCAGCCCACAACTTCCAATGTCCAGAATATTGTGGCTCTCATCTGATACCTTCAGTTCTTGCTTCAGAGAACTTAGAAACTTGAGCATCCATGGAAACTTGTAGTATCTTCGCTTGCTTGATCAGTTCTGTGGCCTCCTTAAATGTTGATGCCAGGCCCTCCGCACAGGTGTGGCCCAGGAAGCACGAGGTGAGGTACTGCATCTTCACAGTGCCGTTGGCAGTGTCGTCCCAATATCGGACAAGTACATCCATCTGTTGCTTCTGAGTCACTTTGCTGAGCGACTCGTCAAACGAAACAACTACGAAATGCACACTGGCGAGACTTGATAGCAGCTTATTCCGAAAGTAGGGCGCAATACCATGGCAGATGGTATATCCTACCTTGTCCTAACTGAAGTT